AAAATATATTAAATATACTATGTAATCTCCTGTCATGCTATACAAGGTCCTTGCTGTGACAAAGAATTCAGCCAATCAGAATTCTCTCATACAATTCTATGGGGAAAACAGAGAGTATGCATATGCAGTGCTTGTGCTGTATTGGTCCAAGCCTCTTCACATGTTGGAACAGCAATGAAGATGGCCAGGACTGTTCTTACTGATTACATGAGCGTGTACTCTAATACCAGTAACTAATATATTCATTACCTGAACTGGATGAGACTTGAGTTTTCGATTCACTTGACTTACTGTTCTTCTCACATGCAGATAAGATTCCTTCTTTTTTGTCGACAGCTGGAGATGCCTTTGCTAAGAATGGAGACTGTAGTTTAGGAAAATGTCACATAGGTGTCACATAATAACTAATGCCTTAAGGCATGTACACAGAGAAAGCCAGCATTATTGGGTAACTGCATCAATTAATGTTTTTTTTTATTATTTGTGGACAAGTGGTAGAAGACATCTTAAGCTCTATGGAGACTTCGGTAGTTTTTATGTACCTCATTTAATCATAGGAAAATGTACAACACTTATTAGAACACTCCCAGCACCATAACCACTAAAGTGCTCTGTAGTGTTTATGGAGCCAGAAGTGCCCTGGTGTCCCTCCAATGTAAATAGTCAAACCATTTGCTGACGGTTTGACTACTTATATTGGTGCTGGTCACCTCCTACATGACATATGTCATAGCTCTGCATTGAGCTAAGTCTGGAAGTGCAAAGCTTTGATTATTGACTGCGAGTGATCAGCTAACCCTCTCAGCCAATGAGCTAGCCTGTACTATAGGGCCTTAGCTCAGGAAAATTAACAGAATTTCCTAGCAGAAGCTTCCAGCTCTCAATGGCAGAAGTCACCTGTGGTCTCTGGACCCCAGGAAGTTGTCAGATAGATTTACTAGTTACAATGGGGGGACGGGCACCAGAGCACTCCTTGCACCATAAGCACTACAGCAAACTGGAATGGCTATAGTGCTTGGAGTGTTTCCTAAAAAATGTTGAGAAAATAAAATTGAAATATTGCCCACCCTAGGACGATCAACTAAATAAACCACTAAATAATGTTTATCTGGCAGCCCTGGATAATATAAAAGTCAACCGAATATAAGGTTTAACCATACCGCAGTTCACTAACCTACCTAGGGCACAGCCCGGCCAGGGGATAGTTAGAAAACAGTAGTCCCAACTAACAGACCTATGGACAGATCACCATACCAATGTCTATATTCAATAGGAGGAATGTGTGGGGGAATGGTGTGGACACAGACTACATAACTATTATTGGCATGGATTATGTTCTCTAACTGTTATTTACTGTTTCTGATATATTTTTTTCTCCTTTCTCCCACCGAGGGGCTGGTTCAGTGACTATTTTAGTAAATCCTGCGTACCTGGAAAAGGGGCTACAAACCACACTTGAGACAGTGGGTTTTCCTTTACCCGAATGTTACTTATACACCAACTCAAACCCCTTCCCTATTCATACCATGACATGATTAGGGACAACTACAAAGTATATATGTGAATAGTGGAAATATTGCAAACTGAAATATGCACATCTATATTATATATAGGCTATTTCACACGCACGGACGGTTGGGCACCCCAAAACATAAACAAATAAATAGGTAAAAACATAATTTAGTTTGTTATGGTTGGTATTTTATATTTAAATCTTATATTGAATTATTATTTTTACTATCAAGTAAAAATGCTCTTCATATTTATAAATCCTTGGTCAAGGACAGAAGGAAAATGACTAAGGGCTTCAAGCTTTGCATTAAAATATTGCTTGCTCATTGCTTATTCAATCCTCTGCCAATCCAGAGCTCTGCGACAAACAAACAAGGGTTACAATGTACAATTACAGTGTTCAGCTTACCCTGCAACAGAATGTCCATGGCTCTATACAACTCTAAATCTCTAAGAATGTCTACCAGGTCCTGAATAGTTGTCATCCTTTGTCCCCAAGACCACAAAAGTTCTCTGGTGATGCTGATCCCTGTCCTTTGCAATAAGTGAAACCTCCGCAAGGCCAATGTGTCGCTGATAATGTGTGATGCTTGTGGAAACAAAAATAATTCAGCTTTTAGCATAGGAACAAATAACTCAGCAGATGCATCTCACGTGCCTCTAGGTACAACATTTTCAAGTGTTCCTATCTCCCCCCAAGTCAGGCATTCCACCTCTCACTCTCTCTCCTCCTATAAAAAATGCTACATTAACCACATGGCAAAATTAAAAAGTATCTCAAAATATATTTCAAATTGAAAATACACATGTGTAGCTAGGAGAGGTAACAAGAGTAGACAGGTGCCTATAGGCAGTTACCTACTCAGCCTAGTGGCACGTCCGGCCTGCAGGTATGCCTGCGTGAGATGTAATCAGGAAGAGGAATGGACATGGAATGGAAAAAGAGATCGGTGCTGTCACTGCCAATACAGATCTGCAGATCTGTGTGGCCTTCCCTTCCCTTTTACATATGCTGAGCTCTATAACATGATGTCATATCTCAATACGTTGTGTCAGCCTGAATGCTGGACCATGAAGAAACAGTGATACAGAGGACTGATAGTGAAGATGGCTTTAATGCTTCCTGACATATATAATCAGGAATTGGCATGTCAAGATAGATATTAATATGGACTGAGAAATGGAAGCATTCTCCCAATAGTTTAACATTACGAGATATACGGACTCACTTGTGTAAAAAGAACCTTCAGTTCTTAACCTGGGTCACAAGTCTCCGTTTCACCACTTCTTCCTCAGTGGTCCTCAGTATCATTTACCGAGTACATTGGGCTGTGTCCATACCATAATATGCCCTTTGTGCTTATTGCTGAGGCAAATTATTGATTCCTCCATAAACCTTCACAGCAGACCGTCTCCATCAAAACTGAATATGTTCTCACTCCCCACAAAAATATTAATAGATAATATAAAGAAAAAAAAGAAAATAATATAAAGCTGCTATAAAAGTTAAATTGTAGTCAAGCACGTTTAGGTTGCTTGGTTTGTTAACAAAAGACATCTTACCAAAACGCATCCATTCCCATTCATTTAAGCAGTCCATACAACGGCAGAACTCTTCCATCACAATCGGAGGGATGTCCAGGATCTGTGTGGAGGAACTGATACATTGAGCACCTTCCATGCTGCAATACGCAAGATGTCACCCAAACTCTGCTCCAAAGGATGAGAAGAACATCTATTATAATGACTGGTATAGTAGCAATGCTGTACAATAAAACCATAAAGGTGTCACGTGAAGACTACATTCTACATTTGACTTACAGCATATTTTTAAATGTGTCTTAACTTATTACCAGCTATTTTAATTTAAACAGACACTCTAAGCACCATAATCAGTACAGCTTATTTTGTTTGTTATTGTGCAAAGAATCTTTGGGCTCTGTCACCAAAGTACTGTTTGGTTTCAAGCAATTTGACTGGGCCTTTTCCAATGCCTTAATCCCAGAACCTCTGCTGTAGCATGGATAAGAAGATAGAGATACAGATTTTCAGGATACCAGTGAGGTCCAAACTAGTTCATAAAATCTATTGTGCAGTCTTCCAGCCTTAGTGATAATGTAGAGTTGTTCGTTATCCTGTGGGAAAGTCACACATTTCTGAAGAGCAATTGTGCAAAGTCTGGGAAATGCTACATGTAAGGTGACCAATGCTGGCCATAGAGTGGATCATAGGCCGCCACTGGGTTTACCTTCTGCCAAGATACCTGTGGATGCAGGATCCTCTGCTGATGCCATGCTCCATTTTGGTGTAAATCTTCAGACTGTTGCTTCTCCTTGTATTGACGCAGTGCTTCATTTTCGCATCAATATTGACGTAGCACGCTGCTCTCTTATGCCCTTTGACAGTGTCATTTATGTGTGTCGTTTTGGAAGTTGATCCCTATTCCATCATTCCAGTGATGTCAACACACACGTTTTGGCATCACCAGAATGATGTTGACCGATAGTTTTCTTTTTTTTTTTTTTATAATTCTTTATTTTTGCAGAGCGTATAGTGGTTACAGGTATACATATGGTACCCCAACGGCATTCCATATGCTGATTTCAAGACATTAGTTACAGTGGGGGTTAGGTAGACAATGCACTTTTTTTTTGATATTACGTAATGATAACAAGCTAATAGGTGTTGCTGAATGGTATAACATGTTAGATTAAGATTTCGTTTAACTCAACTTTTTGCACATCAGATTGTAGTTATGTTGCCATGACAGTAATCCAAGACATAGAGGTCACTTAGATGTAGGATTAATGCGCATTTTTATGATTAAGTGAAGTATGCGTTACAGGCTAAGCTCATATATGCTTTATGCAGGGGAAGTTCTGTAGTTAGTACCATCTATGGCTAGGATCACCATCCTGCAAGTACTGTAAAGCTTACAATGCTGTGTTTCAACAAGTAGCAGTAATAATAGGATTAAAAAACTTGTTAAGATTAATAAACATGTTGCTTAAAGTTTTATACTGTACTGAGTATACAGGCTGCGCTTAAGAAGCTATTGCCTAACAGTTAAGAAGCTACAGCATAAATGGGTTGTATTGTAGGTACACAGAGATAAGGTTAATTATTTACATGCTAGATCAGGATTGTTATGGTTATGACTAGGGTAGTTTTGCTATAAGGCTCTGGTACCAGATATCATAGCGTCCTTTGATGGCCGTCAACCCATGCCGCTTGGAGGCTTTGGGGGTGAGTCTTTTTTGTTGTTAATCCCTGTGTCTTGTCTTGTCACCTCAGGGCCCAGGCTTTGAGGTTTCTGCTGGGTTGCCTGCTGCGGGCGCCGTGGTCTTGCAGTTCCCAGAGCTCGGACTGTGGTGCTGTGTCGGCCCCTCCGCCGGCCACACTCCATCATCAGGGCCCCTGTGCTGTTACCTCTGCTCTGTTCATTGAAGGCTCTGCAAGTGCCGTCTCGGGCGGCTGTCAGGTGAGGGTTAGAGGTTCGGGTCCTCTGTCTCCAGGCCAAGTCTCTTTGATGGAAGGGACGGCTGGTGCTCCTGCTGTAGCGTTGCCGCCAGCGGCGGTGGATTCTCAGCCTCCGCTGCATATATCGGGGTAGTATGCCCCTGGTGGCTTTGGGCCTTGTCTGGTCCGTTTGCGCTGTGTCAGGCATTTGATGTGGGAGTTCGCCTTGAGGGGGCCCGCTCACCTCCCGCTTCTCTCTGCTGTGCTCTTGGTTCTGACGCGGTGTCTCCATGGCGCGGGCTTCTAACTTTGCCCAGAAGCTTGTAAAGAGCCTGTCGACGTTGTGGAGCAAGCGCTCAAAAGTGCTCTGGAGTGACATCGCAACTTGTTCTGTGTCAGGAGCTTGTGTGTCAGGAGTGTCCGCCATTTTAAGTTTGACAGTTGCTGCTTAATCTTGTCGCTTAATGGCTTCTCGTAGCCGGCTTGTTGGTGCTGGGTATGTCAGGAGGGGGACCGTGATGACCCCCGCCGGTCCAGAGGGGGGGGGACAGCTTGGTGCTATGTGCACTCCGCCGGGAATAGGGCTCAGAGAGCGGCCGCCTCTCCTCTGCCCACGCTTGTGTAGGCCGTGAGCCTGAACGGCAGCGTTTCAGTGCCAAAACGGTTGGATTTTGGTATCCCTGGATGCACCGTCATTCCCTTATCTGGGAAGTCGTCGTGGCTGGTCGGTTTGGCGAGTGGCCCCGGTAATCCGTCGTTTATCAATCCCAGTCTGTGGAGCTCAGCCGATGCGTGTCTGATCAGCTCTGCATCCAGGCTCCGCCCCCGGACCCATTCTCTTTAATATATAAAATTAGTGATATTGCAGAAGGTCTTGATGGTAAGGTATGTCTTTTTGCTGATGATACTAAGATATGTAACAGGGTTGATGTTCCAGGAGGGATAAGCCAAATGACAAATGATTTAGGTAAACTAGAAAAATGGTCAGAATTGTGGCAACTGACATTTAATGTGGATAAGTGCAAGATAATGCATCTTGGACGTAAAAACCTAAGGGCAGAGTACAGAATATTTGATAGAGTCCTAACCTCAACATATGAGGAAAGGGATTTAGGGGTGATTATTTCTGATGACTTAAAGGTAGGCAGACAATGTAATAGAGCAGCAGAAATGCTAGCAGAATGCTTGGTTGTATAGGGAGAGGTATTAGCAGTAGAAAGAGGGAAGTGCTCATGCCATTGTACAGAACACTGGTGAGACCTCACTTGGAGTATTGTACTCGGTACCGGAGACCGTATCTTCAGGAGGATATTGATAACTTTGAGAGGGTTCAGAGAAGGGCTACTAAACTAGTTCATGGATTGCGGGATAAAACTTACCAGAAAAGGTTAAAGGATCTTAACATGTATAGCTTGGAGGAAAGACGAGACAGGGGGGTATGATAGAAACATTTAAATACATAAAGGGAATCAACACAGTAAAGGAGGAGACTATATTTAAAAAGAAGAAAAACTACCACAACAAGAGGACATAGTCTTAAATTAGAGGGACAAAGGTTTAAAAATAATATCAGGAAGTATTACTTTACTGAGAGGGTAGTGGATGCATGGAATAGCCTTCCAGCTGAAGTGGTAGAAGTTAACACAGTAAAGGAGTTTAAGCATGCGTGGGATAGGCATAAGGCTATCCTAACTATAAGATAAGACTAGGGACTAATGAAAGTATTTAGAAAATTGGGCAGACTAGATGGGCCGAATGGTTCTTATCTGCCGTCACATTCTATGTTTCTATGTTTCTATACGTCCCTCCATGGATACACATCTAGCCCTCGTATGAGAAAGGTTGCTGACCCCTAGGATATACCATGTGATACATAATACATTTGCATACAATGCTAGATATGACACAAGGTTTTTAGTAACATTCTTTCCAGAATGTTCCAAAGTTATGGTGATATTAATGGGTTGAGCTCACCAGGCTCACAAAAACAACTCTGCAATCCCTTGATTCCCATGATAGCCTGACATGGGAGATTAAGTTCTAAATGTACAGAATGCACTAACAAGGCCCTCTGTTTCTCTCTCCTTCAGAATTGGCCAATCAGTAGGGGCTGCAGTCCTATCCACAGGTACCACAAATGGACACTTCCTCTCCAACGATCAAGTCAGGGAAAGGCCTGCCACTGATGCAATTCCATGACACTGACGACCACAGTTACCACTGGCTATGTACCTGGTCCTGGAAAGCCCCTTCTAAAGCCCACTGCTGAGAAAACGGTGAATATAAGAGCCCTCCTGCCCTTTTACAATAATTTCGTCTTTGAATTCACTTGGAACTCCTGACAATTTACACCTTAATGAATGCTCTTCAAAGAGTGTGAATTGTTGGGAACAGATAGTCAGTGTTATTTACTTAAGAGGAAATGGTTGGCAATTTAAAGTGAATTTCAAATGTAAGGCCAAAATACCCAAACTGAAAACAGAATTGACAGACTTGGCTTGTTTGGCCTAAAATCTGAAATTCATTTTAAATTCTCTACAATTCTCACTTTAGTAAATAACCCTGTAAGTGAATTGAAAACTTTTGATCAAAATAGCTGAATTGGAAAAAGTTTTCAAGTCCGTTATATTTCCCATTCAACTTAAAGTTTTAAATCCACTTTGAAACGACTTTTGAATTCATTCCCAACAATAGTGATTAAACCTGTGGGTGATTAATGACTAAGCAGGGAATTTTATTAAACAGTCAAATACAAAATTTGAACCTTAATAGCAAGTTAAGGCAATTGTGACCTTAAAGTTGGAATTTGATTTTCAGTTCTTAAAGTGCCACCTTATTTTTTCCTCTCTGAACTTTATGTGGGTGATTTGAAATACATTCCTGCAGTTGGAATTTCCCTTAGTGAAATCACTTCCTGGAACTATTTGCAGTTTTTACTGCAGTCCATAAAATGTTAAAAGCATTTCATCAGCGAATTCCAAGCCAAAGAATATTTAATTATTCACAAAGCTAAATTAATATGAACTTTCATAGTTTACACAGCTTTTTTTTTTTTTTTTTTTAAATACGTTATTCAGTTAGTAGTAAAATCAAATAGGCATAATAGTACAGTAGTGCAAAGTCTGATCTGTGCAGTTGTAATTTTGTACAAAGTTGTCAAAAAGTAGAAAAAAGTATGCAAGAAAAGACAAAGGGAGAAGGGGAAGAATGGAACAAGAGTCCTCAAGTCCAGAACATTATGCTTCAGAGAGGAAATAGACTATGGTGTGACAAACTTTTCTGTATTATTCGATTTCTAGCCATGGCTCCACGAGTTTTAGATAGGACTTTAGTGTTCTTAGACTTGTCTGTTTGTCCATAAAAACTTGTGCTTGTGATTTTCTGGAAATTGCAGATCAGGATGGTGTGTCAATAAATCTCCTTACTTCTCAAATGGCCCTGTGCACCGTTCCAGAGTAGATTTGCAAAAGGCTGTCTTAAGACGTCCACCTAGGGCAAAGGGTTTAAACAGTGGCCTCGTAACCATGAATTTGCATGCTCCCATTCATCATCCCTATAGCCCTGCTGAATCTTAATTCTTCTCTGCTTTTCTCGTGGGATGTGAAAGAATCAAGGTATAATTGCCTATTACTTTGAATTGTTTTTTTATGCCTTCTTTTGTCTCAACAGGATAAAACAGAATAAAACGATGTGCCTTACGGGCTGAACTTGATGGATTTTAGTTTTTTTTCAAGCAAATTACTATGAAACAGACAAAGGGACACATCCACAGACTTCAAAATATTTCTGACAGCACTGTTTAAAAAGTGACCCAATATATATCTACTTCTAGGAAAAACATCAGAAGGGGCTACACTCTTATAGGATAGCTTCATCAGAGTCACGCACTTCTTCATGAGCATTTTATAAGCCTGTTTCTGTAGTACAACACACATGGGAATTTTAGCAGTTTCCTCCTATCCCCAAGAACCCCTTCCCAGGTAGAGATATAGGGTAAAGGAGCATCATATATCCTTGAAGAGTTAAGGTGTTGGTGAGGCAAGTGATAAGCCCTTTTACATATATACCCTGGAGACACATAGCTTCAAACCAATTGCACTCTACTTGGCAGCTTGAGCCACCCCTGCGACACTAGCAAAACTATATAATTGGAGATAGTGGAAAAATTACCTGTTGGAGGAAGACCTCTCCGAAAGAGGATGTCAAAGTAAACAATAGAACCATTCTCATAGAAGTCACAGTATCTTTGAACTCTAACCTCCTCATGTCCTTTGAAAACTTTAGGTTTTATTCCCAGTTGAATGGATTAGAGACATAGGACAGGCCCGCATATTCTATTTCATGGAGCAATATCAATAACTTTTGTTGGACAGTCCTTGAGGACTTAGGAAGTTCAAGATCAAGAACTGAGGTAAGTTGAGGCTTGATAGTCCTTTCTCCTATAGAAGAACTGAGCTAATCTTGCTGAAAGTCATCTATCAGGCAAAATAATTGGGGATGGACTGAAATGGAGTTGTAGTTTTCAAATCTTCAAAATTTCCTGAAAGTAATATTTTTGTTTATTATATTTAAGCATCTATTTAAGAGGCAAACAGCATAATATCTAGTTAAGTAGGCAAACAACATAAAAATACTGTGGTACGATTACATGGTTAAACAGATTGAAACAAAGGAAGCTGTGGATTGTAAGTAAGGGTGTAGCTAATCAAAATATATAAGTGCAATAAAGTCATAATTGGCATGTTGGCTTTCTTGGTAGAAAAGACAAAATGACTAGAACATAAATTAAGTAACTAATATTTTTTTTAATAAATATGTTTCGGCAAACACTCTCCGCCTACTACTGTCCATCTGGCTAAACTTACCAGTGGCAGAGAGCGAAAAAAACAGGGGGCAGCTGTGTCAGGGCATCAAAGGACCATATAGTTTCAACCGCTGAAAAACAGTATACCCCCTCGATAAGGTAAGATAATACGGCACACAGACATTCCTGACCTTATAACAACTCCAATGAGCTGAAGCTGTAATGAGGATGGGAGTATTCCTTTCAAAATATTCCAAGTGAAAAGCACTATTGCTGTTATTATTTTTTTACTAGAGCAGGGCACATCAGGAGACACGTCAGGCTATAAAAAAAAAACCTGAGAAACAAAATTTAGGAAAGTTACGTGAAGCGGCGGCCTGGAAAACAGCCATTCTTCCAACTTAATGGTTAGAGCTCCAGGTGCCCCCATCACAACTGACACTATTACTGCTTCACATTCAACATCCTTTCTAGCTCCTTTTTAGGTCCTTGGTCTTTATCCACCTTCCAAATGTTCATTCTTCTTGATGTTATGATGCTGTTTTTTGTGCTGGATTGTCTTGGAGGCATCTTTGCACAGTCTGTGTCCTGTCTAGTGTGGTAGAACCCTGCTTCTATTGATCTGATGCTGAGCGACTACTACTACAGGATTAGTGATATATATTATATACAGTGATCAGCCACAACTTTAAAACCACCTGCCTAATATTGTGTAGGTCCCTCTTGTGCTGCCATCTCTTCACCAGGTAAACAATGCACTCGACTATCCACATGTAAAGGAAACTTGATTTATCAGACCAGGCAATATTCTTCCATAGTCCAGTTATGATGTCTGTTAAAGACACTTTTGGCAGTAGACGTAGGTCATCATGGGCACTCTGACCAGTCTGGGACTATGCAGCCCCATACGCAATAAACAGTGACTTTCTATCATGGTCAGCATTAGGTTTTCAGCAATTTGAGCTACAGTAGCTCTTCTGTGCACACTTCAAGCAGATGGATTAGCCCTCACTCGCTATGTGCATGTCACTACTGCTAGTGTGGTCCAACACGCAGAAACTATGTAAACATATACATACAAAAGGAAAGGAAATAAAAGGACAGAGCATAAACCGGACCTTAGAATGGCCGGACTAATACACTAGAGATAGAGAATGGTCAAAGGGAAAGCCGAGGTCAAGGAAGCCAGAAATACTCAGATACCGTTTAAACAAGCCAACCAGAATTCGGAATTACCAGGGAAAAGCCAAGATCAGGATACCAGGATGTAATATTCACAAAGATAAACGCACTCTAGGGAACCAGGAACAGGAAACCACGACATGGCAAGGAACTGGGGTGAATTAGGGATGACCTCTGACCCCAGAACGTGCGCGTGCGTTGACGTCGTGACGCCACGCGCACGTTCGTATAATTTTGGGGGGGTGGAGCCATGGATGGAAGCGACCTCATGGTCGGCGCCATCTTGGATATCCCAGAGCGGCGTGGAGGAACGGTTCAGGTTGGCCGCTGAACAGGTAAGCTCAGTGAGTTGGTGCGGTTGTGCCGGTCAGGCACGGACGCACATGGCGGCGAGCCGGGGGCCGTGACAGTGCATCGATGTTCCTTGGGTGCCCATGACCCTGACGCCAGTTCCCTGCACCACATTTGTTAGGTACTTACCACTGCATATTGTGAACACCCAGGGCAGCTGCAAGGATTTTTGGTTACACAGGTGAAGATTAATTTTGCTGCCCACCCCATCCCCCCCCAAAAAAATAAGCATCTTCACCTGTGTCTCTTAATCCCCCTCTTGAATTGCTTACCCCCTTTTGTGTATCAGAAGCAGTTACAATCGAACCAACAGATGGCCCCTTGTTTTTACTACTACTTGCATACAGCTGTATTCCTTAGCAATAATAGTACTGTCTAGTTATTTGGAGCAACCTGTTTTTCTATCACTACACCCTGTTCCAAATTATTATGCAAATGTTATTTTTCTCATTTACCTAAATAATTTATGTAAATAACAGTCAGCATAATTCTCATGTTATCAACTATTAAAAATACAATTCAAATTTTATTGAACAAACCTCCTAATGATAACAGTATTTTTTTTAAACATAAAAAACTTACAATGCATTGTTCCAAATTATTACGCACAGTAAGTTTCAATACACTTTATAGGTTGTAAAGAACTGAAAACTGTCATTTGTTGTTTTTGCAGCATATTTACTGATATCAAAAGCTATTTCTGTCACACTTATAACAACATGTTAACTTTTTAAACATTTTAACAGGTCACGCTACATTTTAACATAGGACCCCTTATTTGATAGCAACTTCACAAGTCTTGCATCCATTGAACTTGTGAGTTTTTGGACAGTTTCTGCTTGAATTTGTTTGCAAGATGTCAGAATTGCCTCCCAGAGCTGTTGTTTGGATGTAAACTGCCTCCCACCCTCATAGATCTTTTGCTTGAGGATGCTCCAAAAGTTCTCAATAGGATTGAGGTCAGGGGAGGATGGAGGCCACACCATGACTTTCTCTTCTTTTATCCCCATAACAGCCAATGAGGTATTCTTTGCAGCATGAGATGGTGCATTGTCATGCATGAAGATGATTTTATTACGGAAAGCATAGTTCTTCCTTCTGTACCAAGAAAGTGGTCAGTCAGAAACTCCACATACTTTGCAGAGGTCATCTTTACACCTTCGGGGACCCTAAAGGGACCCATGATTCTGGCCCAAAACATGACTCCACCACCGCCTTGCTGACGTCGCAGCCTTGTTGGAACAGGGTGGCCGTCCACCAACCATCCACTACTCCATCCATCTGGACCATCCAGGGTTGCACGGTACTCATCAGTGAACAGGACTGTTTGAAAATTAGTCTTTATGTATTTTTCTGCCCAATGCAGCTTGTGAGCATTGGTTAGTGGTGGCTGAAAAGAAGGTTTATGCACAGTTGCAAGACTCTGGAGGACTCGACACCTTGATGCCCATGGGACTCCAGAGGCACCAGCAGCTTCAAATATCTGTTTGCTGCTATGTAATGGTATTTTAGCAGCTGCTCTCTTGATCCGATGATCTGGCAGAAATCTTCCTCAATGTGCCTTTATCTGCACAAGCCCGTCTGGGCTCTGAATCAGCCACAAATCTCTTAATAGTGCGATGATCACGCTTAAGTTTTCGTGAAATATCTAATGTTTTCATATCCCGTCCAAGGCATTGAACTATGTCACGCTTTTTGGCAGCAGAGAGATCCTTTTTCTTCCCCATATTGCATGAAAATGGTGCTCTGCTTAATAATGTGGAACACCGTCCGTTAGTAGTTTTTCCTTAAACTGGGCTCACCTGGCAATCTAATTATCACAGGTGTCCGAGATTGTTTTCAGTGATCAAAAGAGCCCTGAGACACAATGCCATCCATGAGTTAAACTGAAAAACAAAATAGTTAATCTTTGTGACACTTAAATATAATGTGCATAATAATTTGGAACAGGGTGTATAGGGCACTTGTCAAAGTCACTCAGATCTTTTCGATTGCCCATTTTTCCTGCTTCCAACACATGAAATTCAAGAACTGATTGTTCACTTGCTGCCTAATATATCCCACCCCTTGACGGATGCAATAATCAAAGTTATGCACTTTGCCACCCAGGGGTTTTAATGATGTGGCTGTATATACTGGGTCATTATATATTTATATACTCTATGTCACAAAGAGTCTTGAAAATAATGAGCACTTTTAAAAAAGATTTGAATCCTGTTATCCAATTATTCAATCGCCTGTCCTTTCTTTTAAATTATCATCTGTAAATTACCATCAAATAAAGTCTGGTGATATCAGATCCAGTACTTGACTCAATCTTAGGTATAGTATTCTGACATTCAAAGATAACTAGAACAAGGGGATTATCAATATCATCAGTTGATTTGTGTTAATTAGTGCCTCCTATTGTTTTGCAACACAGTGTTCTAAGATAGATGAAAGTTATGTTGTACATGAGAGATAAGGAATGCAAATGAAGTCAGCCATAAACGACAATGAGGAAGACTTGTTTGAAAATAGATTTCTATGAAATTTAAAGTAACCAGTAAATACAATGTTTTTCTGTAAATATCATATAAAAGTACATTTAGAATGCATGTACCAGACTTTTATATAATTACGTAGGTTACATATATTATGCATAAACTGACGTGGGAATCTTGCAAAAAAAGAAAATTTGTATACATAGTGTAACCAAGAAAATACTCTGCTACTCACTAAACTCTGAATTATATTTATTTGAAATTTGAATTGCAAAATGCAGGATAAAATAGCTATGTTGTGACTATAACTTATTTGGGGAATTTCTCCAAATCAGCTATTTGAACCTAAAAAATACCATTGTGATTTTCAGTTTGGTACAGATCATAGTTTATTGAGTAAACACTTATTTTTACCATTCTCTTGTATGTTGGCATCAAGTGCATAAACATAATAGAAATATGGAGTTTTTGTTATCTCATAATATCTTATACTTATTTGTCCCAATTTTCATCCACCCAGTAATGTTAAAGAAACATTCATTATTTTCATTATTTTCGGAGGTCTATTTAGAACGCATGCCACTTTTGTTTTCCCAGGTTCTACGTGTGTTAAAGCAGGGCTTTCCCAGTTTAGGGAAATTTTGTTATAAATTGACAAACACAGACTGGCAGACAGACTGATAGCTGCATCCTTATTCTGAAAATCCAATCACCTCTTGTGGTTTTTGATTTCAACAATCTTTACTGAGTGATTACCCCTTAATTACTTTCATTACAGAGTTTTTGTTTAAAAAAATATTTGTGTAACATTTATTTCAAACAAGAAATGCATAGCTAGCTCATAAACATATAACAATAGCAGTTTTGTGTATAGATTGCTTTTTAGAAAAAAATTATAACTTAAAATTATGGAAATGTACAAACTTTTTATTTTTCACTTAGTTGTTCGTCTTTTATAGAATATTATGAGGGAAAGCTTTATACCGTATGCAGTATATTCCACATAGGGTCTGAAATCGAAGTATAAAAGCAAAAATTTAAATTTTCTCCCATACAGGATTAGAAGGACAAAAATGGATACCTAAAATATGTTCATATAGCCTGCTTGAAGGTATTTGTAAGGACTCTGAAGAATAGAAGTACAGTTTACTGAAAATACATACTTCCTAACTGTTCCACTTTAAGCAGGATTGCAGTCTTGATTTTAGGATCCTGTCTCGCCTTCTCGATTTAGTTCTCTGATGTCCCACATCCAGGGCACCAGGGAATTGCTATTGGGCAGAACAGCACAAATGATTCATTCGATCATTCGTATCATGTTCCTATTTGTGGGGTAGCCAGCTGGGAGACTGTGCTTGACGCCAGTTTGACAATCCCCTTCAGTGGGTAAACACTCCAGACAGGCCCACTCAGTATGGACATCACCAGTGACATTGTCAATGCATCCATGAAGGGCCTCCTATCTGTTCTGATTTAATACATCCCGTGTTGGTAGGTGTGAAAATGGCAACAGAATGCAAAAAGAATGTCTACCTTTATCCATAATGCTCTCATAAAGTAAATACATGGCTTCAGGCAGAGAAATTAATTCCTCTACAAACTGGTAATAATTCCTGCAGTATAAATGATGGTGAGTGAGACACTTGACCTGATCGAAAGGAATCATTGCACTCAATCTTCATGGTTTCTTTTTAATACAAACACACAAAACTTGACAAGACAAAGCAAACAAGATAGAGTAAATCAGAAATAAAATAAAAAAGAACTAGAAAAAAACGTTAATCAGGATATAAGTAATTGAATAAAACTCCTGGTAAGCTATCTCCAGTAACTCACTATGAAGGAACTCAGCATATGTATTGGTTTAGTCACCTTTGACAGGTTGATTCCTGGTAACTGCAGTAAAATGCGAAAGAATCAAGAAATTGGGTTAAGTTGGTTGGTTGGATACCTGGATGGACTCCCAACCCACCAGGGACAGGATCCACTCCAGCCCTCCTAGGAAAAGCTAAAGATGAATAAATATGTGTGTATGTGATTATGATTATGTGTAGGAAATGCTAAATAAGATGACCATTGGAAATCTAAGTACAATCTCTATTTTGTCGCTATCACAATTCCGCAAGTCAGTGAAGTAACTACCAATCAATTTAGGTCAAAATAGATTAGCTTTAAACTAACTTGACTATTTTGCTTTGACATTTGAAATTGAGATTTTTTAAATTTATTTATTTTTATTTGAGATTTATTTATTTTTTTTGCAAAAAAAAACTACAGTCTTGTTTTCTATCTATTAAAGTCCATTGAAAAGGGTAAGCAAATGTATTCTTTGAGAAGGTAAGAAGGACCTATAATAAAAAACAAAACAAAAAAAAAACATATCCTGCAGGATATAAAATCCTGTAGGACACAATAAAATACTGCAGGATATATTTTCTCTAACTCCCCCACATCCCTTACTTAAAGGGGAAGTCTGATAATCGTAACTTAGTTAAAGTTTTCATTTAGGTGAGGCCTTTATTTCCATTATGCACTTACATGTCTAACGAACACTCCCCTGCCCCAGGTCACTAGTGATCATTGGAAAAACCTGTCCTTCCAGTCTGGGGCTTTTATATTGTGAATAGCCAAAGGGAAATAACTTGCCCACTAATGGCCAAATGATTTACTGTCCTGCACAGCTGCCCTCAATTGATCCTTTACACTTATTACATAGATACAGACTTGACACTTGCAAATGGAGATCCTGCCAGCAATAGCAATTCCCACCACTACATCTGTTATAGGCTCCTTTGATGTCACAGCATTTACTTTTACGATAATAATAAGACGATAATAATAATGTTAGCCCAACGCTACCATGTCTGACATTTTTCAGTTTATTTTCTCTCAAAATTTTTATAATATTATAGGGTACTTTCATTTAATATATTTTTTTAATTCTTTATCTTTGCTCATCTCGCTGGTTTGAGAAAAGATTAGCACTGGTATACGAAGATTTGCCATGTTACATGTGCAAACAGATAACCATATTCGTAGTGCTGCTAGGAACTAACCAGTGAAGTGGAGATTTTTTTTATCTAAAAATATGTAAAAAGCACATTCAATCGCTAAGGGGTCAAATCAATAATTAGCCTAAGCAAGGGTTGGAGGCAGGCTATCACTGATATGCTCGGACTCTATAAATATTTCCTCCGAGTACTACTATATTTGTGCGCCATCTTATATAGGGTAATGACAAAGGATGAAAATACAACAAAATAAAGTAACTGAAGATTATTTAGTGTGCAATATACTCATAGATTTGGTTATCATCCTATACAGAGCTATAAGTATGCTATGTTGGAGAACAGGAAGGTTTAGGATAATAGGCCGAAAGCCATTTTAGTTTTACGCCTCTGGACATCACTAACTTATTCCGTTATCTAACTCGGGTGTAGAAGCGGGAAGGGGAAACCCATGACTAGTGACCTTGCAACCCTTCACAGAGTGCGCTAAACTTTGTGTAAGACATTTTCATGAGTACAGCCCCTTCCCCCTGTGTGCAGTCCCTTCACCCCGTGTGTAAAAATCCCTCCGCCCCCCTCTGTGTAACCCCCTTCCCCCTGTGTGCAGCCATTTCCTCCCTGTGTGCAACACTGCATCTCCTTCCCACCTCTGTGCAACCCCCGCCCCCTGTGTGCAGCCATTTACCCTCTGTGTGCAGCACTGCAACCCCTCTCCCCCCTTACCCTTCCTGTATGCAGCTCTCTTCCTTTTTTTTTGGTGGAGTATGTATGCATCATTTTTTTCTGCGTGCTTATAATGACATATACATATAATGAATATGTAGATACCTCACAACTCTTGCCCATGGCAAATCGCGCAGAGGTAGAGGTTGGCAGGACAGCGGGATTGCCAATCAAAATCAGTTTGTCCCGCACAAAACAGGACTGTTGGAAGGCATGTAAGTGGAATTTCCTGGGTGGAGGTGAAAGGTAGGGGAGGGAGTGGGGGGAGAGGGGCCATAGATCAGTTTTCGCACCAGGGCCCCATGGATCGTATGTATGCCACTGGAAAAAGGTCAAACAGGTATTGAGCTATATATAACTCAAAGCATGGTAATAGTAGTCGAGGCCAAGAAAATTACATAGAGCCTCGGGTTGTGGCTGCAGCATATGCGTCTGAGAAGGCCCTCTGAGAAATGAACGTTGTGGCCCTTGCCGGATCCAAGCTATGTGAGACTGCGGAAACACCTGTGGACTAGGCCTTGCCAATGAATCTTGCAGGAGGCCCAGCATATCCAAAAGGATGACCACTTTGGTTAAATCACAGACGGAGTGAGTGGAGCCCCCCGTATGACCTGGGCATCCGCAGACATTACCATCTGTAGCAAATGTCGTAGGTTCTAAGTAGTGCGGTAAAGGGACTTCCTCTATTGTAGGGTTTCACTTGAGAGATTGGCATAAAATGTGAGCGCCATATTTTCAAACAAGTATAGTGATGTCCCTTTTAGCACGGCCTGCACTGCTGCCTACCTGCTGCTGTTAAGATTCCTGGATGCTGATTCCAGTGCCCTCTGGGGCTTCAGGACTCTAAAGATCCCATCAAATGCAATGCATATAACCTGTCTAGGCCCCAGCAAAGTCTCTATCAGTGTCCACACAAGGTGGGGGAGCATTGCCATTGGGATCTCCACTGATACACCACGTATCTTGAGTTTCTTGCAGTGACAAGTGTCTTCCAGTAGTACAAAACGTTGCTTAAATATTATCTGCTGCTTCTTGAGACTTTGCACTTAATTTTTAAGTGAGGTGATATTTTGAGTGTGGCCCTCTGAAGCTGCTCCCACCATATCTAAGCGACCTACAAGACTGGCTGTAAGGTCAGTGTGGAGTGATGCCACATCCGCCTGTATGGTTTTCTGGAGGTCATTAAGTTGCTCCTTCATAGTGGCTGTAATCACAGGTATTGAGTCTGTGCTCCATGAAGAGTTGTTAAGAGTGCAATTTTGCAACCCAAGACTAATACAATTAACCACTTCACATCAGCAATCGTGTATACATATTTGCTAGGGTCTGCACCCATACCCCTCAACTGTGTATATACGATTAGAAGCATTGCAAATGAAATTAATTAATTGCAAATTAATTTTACTTGCAGCGATTTTGCTGATAGCCGAGCCAGCGCTTAATTTTTAAGCTCCCCTGTAGCCCCCCACGCAGCATGGGCTGGCAGGGAGATATAGAGATTTCCCTGGATGGTGCCACACTGCTCACTCTGCAGTCGGCCTTCTGGCTGACAGCAGTACTCGGCAAATGCTCGCTCCTGGTTGGAGACTGAAAAGAGGCATTCCGAGGGGTCTGCATTCAAGCAGAGAACAGATTCAATTGGCAGCCCACCGGACCACCAGGGAAACTAGATCAACAAGGATCAGATCACCCCTCACTGCCAAAAGGGAAGCAGGTGTGGGGCTCCACTAAAAATTTTTTAGCAACAATGTGTGGGAAGCCTGAATAGTGGAATATGGCCTCCCCACATACAATATACCCACCAACACACACTCAGCCTGTCACATCACCCCCCACACACAAACACATTCAGATATCCTGTCATATCACCCCTCACACACAAACACATTCAGATATCCTGTCACATCACCCCCAACACACATACAGACACCCTGTCTAATCACCCCCCACATGCAAATAGACAACCTGTCAAATAACCCCCTCCTATACCCACAGACATCTTGTCACATGCCCCCCCCACACACATATATACACACCCTGTCACATCAACAACCCACCCACAGTCATCATGCCACATCGCCCCATCCCCCACATGTAAACTTACCCTGTCACGGTCACTCCCCACACTTACCTTCACACACAGTTGCATTGCCACACTCACTCAGCCACATTCCCACTCACTCAGTCGCTACTACAGTCACCATCAAAAACACACAGGCACTACCCCACAGACAGTAAACCTGATACTCACAAAATTACCCCTTACATATGCAACACAGCCCCACCATAAATATAATGCACAGCAACACCACAAGCAGCCCATCCCCCCAAATAAACTACACCCTGAAAGCAGCTCCCTCCACATGTACACTCACAGAGATATACAGGCACACACATACATAGATATGCATTGCAGGCACAGTCATAGATACACAAACACACAGATATACATTCATAGATGCACAAGGATACTCACTGACAGACACACACTCTCAGGAACATACACAATTCACAATGCCAGAAATGCATACACAGGAACCAATACACACTGCCAGACACTGTGATTGTGTGACTCCGCCCCGCCCCTAAATGAAGCCCCGCCTCCCGCACATAAGCCCCGCCGTAAAGCAGCAGACCATGCTGCTGCAGACAATGGCTGCCTGACCCCCAGCAACAGCCTCCAGTGACAGGTAGGCTTATTGTGTTTGTCTGTGTGTGTGTATGGACATAGCAGTCTGTGTGTGTGTGTGTGTGTATATGTATGGACTCACACACACACACACACACACATTGCCCCCCATACACACACATTGCCCCCCATACTCACACACTGCCCCCCATACACACTCATTGCCCTCCATACACACATACTGCCCTCCATACACACACATTGCCCCCATACACACACATTGCCCCCCATACTCACACACTGCCCCCCATACACACACTGCCCCCCATACACA